CGGGAACAGAACCCGCGCAGCCCACCGCGTGGGTGCACGCCCACCTCCTTCCTGGGGGTTTTGGGTTTCTACGGGCGGCTGAAGCGCGTGGTGGTCGTCTCGATGGGTTTCTCGCACTAATGTGTCATCAGTTTGGGTCGAGTCGCTGCTCCGCAGGTCCTTGCTCGCCGCGGGAGTTCTGTATCTGCGGCGCAGCTTTGCTGGTTGAGCGCTCGGGAGAGCCGGCCCCGTGGACCGGTTCTTCTCAAGCCTATGTTGGCCAGGGCCAGCAGCGAACGCGTTGCTCGAACGCGTTCAAACCAAACCGAGCTGGAAGTTCCCGTTAATTCCTCGAATGCAAATTGTGCTTCGAGTGTGGCGAGGACTTTCTTGCCTTATGAGCAACGATCTCTATTTAAAGGCTTGCTGGAACAGTTCAAAGCAGCTTCATTTGCTTCAGGATTAAATTTTGGGCACCCACGGCGTTTTGGGGTAGGGGTGATGGTTTATTTCGCGCCGCGCGAAGACAGAAGGAATTGCATAAAGAAAAAAGGAAATTAAAAATGTATCGTGATGTTGCATTGATCTCAGCCCTCTGGCACGGAGCTGGGGAGGAGGAGAGCGATCAGCTCTCTGACGGCTGCGCTGGACTCCACCGCTCGGTGGCTGCTCGTCGCCGCGCTAACGACGGTTGCTGGGGAGAAGGGAAGTTTGGGAGGGATTAAATATTTCCGTAGAAGATTGAGATGTATTTTTCTGCACAAGCCGCTTTCTTCGCGTTGAACCAAGGGTGATTTTCATCTGGATATTGTTCTTCTGTCAACGCCCTGTCTACAAACACCATCATTTCTTCGTCAGGGTAATGACAGACCTGCCGGCGTGTGGACCGTGCACGCGGTTTCCTGCCTGCTAGGCTTTGAGTGGTGGGAGCGGCGGTGGCATGGGATTGGTAACGAAATTACCGTCTGGCAGGCTCGTTAGGAGCGTCGTTAGCTGTCATCAGCTGCAGAGCGCTTTGGGCTGGTTAAGGGGTGGGAAGAGCAGAGCTGGGAGCGCTCAGCGTTGAGCATCTTCTCGTAGCAAATGCCGAATAATGAAGTGTCCACCTACTGCTGCTTGGTGTTTCACTTCACAAAAGCCCCCACTCTTCCCTCTTCCAGTCACGCGGGAGAGAAGAGCTGGTGCACAACGAGTTCTTGTTAAGCAGGCAGCGCCGTGACACCCAGTATCACCATCGTCATCGCGTCATCACATCACGAAGGTTGGAAAAGACCTCCATGATCATCAAGTGCAACCATCAACCCACCAGTCCGACGCTGAGTCAACCGTGACTCAAAGCGAAGAGCGCTCCAGCCCAAGCCGTCGGCAGCATCTCCTGCAGCCGGTCCTTCTGTTCATCTCGGCGGGTTCCCAGGCGGGCTTTGCCTGCTGACGGCTCTGTCCGAGGCCGTGTTTCACGTGGGACGGACGCCGCGCTGACATTTTAGGAGGATGTTGAGGAACGCTTGCCAAGTAGAGGCAGCTGATGGCACTGGGAGAAGATGTTCTTCTCTTTACAGCAGCAATCATCGTGTCTGTGACGCAAAACGTGGCGCTCCGGGATTTTTAATGCCGTGGAAGGATCTTGCAGGTAGGGTCAACCTGCAGGTAGGGTCAACTCTTTGTAGCTCCTTGCTCAGTCTTTCACAGTATGGTTTATGGTGTCAATCTTCTACAGATCATGATGAAAAACGTGACTCTCCGGGATCTTTAATGCCATGGAAGGAGCTTGCAAGTAGGGTCAACGTGCCAGTAGGGTCAACTTGAAAGTAAGGTCAACCCGCCAGTAGGGTCAACCTGCAAGTAAGGTCAACCCGCCAGTAGGGTCACCCCTATTTGTAGTTCCTTGCCCAGTCTGTCACAGTACGGTTTACGGTGTCAATCTTCTACAGATCATGATGCAAAACGTGACTCTCTGGGTTTTTTAATGCTGCGGAAGGAGCTTGCCAGTAGGGTCAACGCGTCGGTTGGGTCAACCTGAAAGTAGGGTCAACCTGAAAGTAGGGTCAACCTGAAAGTAAGGTCAACCTGCAAGTAGGGTCAACCCGCCAGTAGGGTCACCCCTTTTTGTAGTTCCTTGCCCAGTCTGTCACAGTACGGTTTACGGTGTCAATCTTCTACAGATCATGATGCAAAACGTGACTCTCCAGGATTTTTAATGCCGTGGAAGGAGCTTGCAAGTAGGGTCAACCCTTTGTGTAGTTCCTTGCTCGGTCTGTCACGGTGTGGTTTACGGTGTCAATCTTCTACCGATCATTCCAGGCGGTTCACTTCACGTTGCAGCTGAATCTATTTCCAAACAACATCAGGTCACGTAACGACTGTGGTCCGGTTGGTGCGAGTTAATGGCCTGTAACGATCGCAAGAACGGGCAAAGCCGCAGAGGCGGTTTCAGAACGTAGCGTTTCGTGGGGAGAAATCCTCGGAGTGCGTGCGGTGGGTTTTGGTGGTGGTTTTTCTTCAGTTTGCGTTTCAACGGCGCGATGCCGTCTGCAATATTTGACGGAGCCCTGGCCCAGGCTGCCCAGGGAGGCTGTGGAGTCTCCTTCTCTGGAGATATTCCAGCCCCCCTGGCCGCGGTGCTGTGCAGCCTGCGCTGGGTGACCCTGCGTGGGCAGGGGGTTGGGCTGGGTGACCCCAGAGGTCCCTCCCAACCCCGACCAGTCTGTGATTCTGTGGTTCTGCGATTGTTTTTACGCTGCATTTACTCGTTACGTGAAGGAATTGTCACACAAAGCCAACCTTGCTCAGCTGTGATCTCTAAACTACGTGTGTCCATCTGCAGAACGACCACTGCCCGTCTTCGGGCACCGGATTTGCCGCCTGGGGTTTGGCGTTGGGTCATACCAGGGCATGAAACGCACAGCTCGAGTCTTTTCTCCGTTGCGGGTTGGGAGTTTCAGCCCGCGTGGTTGCTCGAGCCGCCGCGCTCAATGCGCAGCAATTTTCCAGCCAGCTGGAGGTGACGCAGAAATGAAAATCTGCCCTCGGTAGAGCAGGCAAGCTCGTCGGCTACAGCGGGAAATAACCTGGCACGCACAAGGCTTCGCAGAGATCATTGCGTTGGCCAAAACCCCAGGCAATTATGAAATTTATTTTTCTAAAGCTGCACAGAAAAAAAAAAAATATATCACAGAATCCCAGCGTGGTCGGGGTTGGAAGGGCCCTCTGGGGTCACCCAGCCCAACTCCCTGCCCAAGCAGGGTCACCCAGAGCAGGCTGCACAGCACCGCGGCCAGGCGGGGCTGGAATATCTCCAGAGAAGGAGACTCCACAGCCTCCCTGGGCAGCCTGTTCCAGGAGGTCCCCTCTCTTCTCCAGGCTGAACAAGCCCAGCTCCCTCAGCCTCTCCTCGTAGGAGAGATTCTCCAGTCCCCTCCTCATCCTCGCAGCCCTGCTTCTGCGCTTGAACGCAGCCTTGCTTTTGGGAAACGCCTGTGAAGGTGTCTCTCCTCCTTATTTATGTTTTAGACCTCTGCCAGCTCCCGGGGGACAAAAAAAAAAGCCTGGTCCTTCAAAAGAGGCGTTTCTGCAAAGAGCTCCCTCCTCGGAGGGGCACAGGGGGGCTTTGAGCCAAAGGAGCCGTTGGCACCTGTAAGGGCAAAGCAGCGAGGGGAGCATCATCACAACGCGATGAAGCGATGTGCGGGGTGAAGTCGGGTTCTGGCCCCAGCAAGCCGTTGCATCTGCGTCGAGGAAGCTACGTAGATGGTACTTTGACGTCAAAAAAATCCTGTATATTTATTTGCTTCGCCTCCCCCGTACTCCTCTCGCCAAGTGCCGGCTTCACGCCTCGCTTTGTCCCACCCATCAAGGTCCCACCAGGCAGCTCGGCGCGTCCCAGGGCGGCGACCGGCGATGGGCTGTGGCCTCAGCCGACCTCCTGCGTTGCCGTCGGGAGGAGAGCGGGGCCAAACCGGCACACAACTGGAAGCTCTTCGCTCTAAAAACGTCCTGGTTGATGTTCATTTCATTGTGGTCTCAGATGGTGCTTTTGTTTTAGGTGGACTTGTGGTGAGAACTTCACTGTTAACCGATTTCTCATGCCGGATTAAAATATATTTACGTGAATGTCTTCTTTTCTTTCTCCTCCTCCACTCTAGGCCTGTTGTTTTCCTTACGATGGAAAGGCTGGTTGTCTACCTACTGGTCATTAGCACAGCAGTGAAGGCCATGATGTGCCCCAGGCGATGCATGTGCCAAAACCTGTCTCCGTCCTTCACCATCCTCTGTACGAAGACGGGGCTTCTCTTCGTGCCCCCCAGCCTGGACAGGAGGACGGCGGAGCTGCGGTTGATGGACAACTTCATCACCACGCTTAGGAGGAAGGATTTTGCCAACATGACGAACCTAATTCACTTGACGCTGTCGAGGAACACAATCAGTCAAATCATGCCTTACGCATTTTTTGACCTGAAAGGCCTCCACGCCTTACACTTGGACAGCAACAGACTGACCTACATCAACGAAGACCACTTCAAAGGGTTAATTAACCTCCGGCACTTAATACTCAGCAACAACCAATTAAACTATATCTCTCCCGGGTCGTTGGATGACTTTATTGAGACCATCGAAGACCTGGATCTGTCCTACAACAATCTTGTCGACGTCCCTTGGGAGACCATCGCCAAGCTTTCCAACGTCAACACGGTCAGTCTGGACCACAACCTCATTGAGTTCGTGCCGGAGGGAATCTTCTCCAACCTCCACAAGCTTGCCCGCCTAGACATGACCTCCAATAAGCTGAAGAAGATCCCTCCTGACCCTCTGTTCTCCAGAATCCCGGTGTACGCCAAGTCCAAGGGGTCCCCGCTGTCGTCCCTGGTGCTGAGCTTTGGCGGGAACCCCTTGCACTGCAACTGCGAGCTGGTGTGGCTGAGGCGTCTCACCAGGGAGGACGACCTGGAGACCTGCGCCTCCCCGCCAGAACTGATGGGCAAGTACTTCTGGTCGATCAAAGAGGAGGAGTTCGTCTGCGAACCCCCGATGATAACGCACCGAACCCCGAAGCTGGCCGCGACGGAAGGCCAGAGCGTCTCTTTGAAGTGCAAAGCCGTCGGCGACCCAGATCCCTACGTCCGCTGGATCTCGCCCGATGGGAAGCTGGTCTCCAACACGTCCCGGACAATTTCCTACGCCAATGGCACTCTGGATATCTTGGTGACTTCCTTGGCTGACAAGGGCACGTTCACCTGCATCGCGTCGAACGCCGCGGGAGAGTCGATGGCTCCAGTCGAGCTCCTCGTTACCCCCTACCCCAACCTCGCCAACAGCACCAGCTGTGAGAAGGACGCGGAGACCGGCCCCTCCGACATTCTCATC